TCGACCTCCGTTAACCTTGTCCAATAGGTGCCTAAACTTCTTTGGCCAATGGCGGCCATGTTTTTTGAGATAAGCGAATGTCCTCATAGACACTTGTGCCCCTTTGGACGAAGACACTGCATACCAATTTTCAAGTCGATCGGACCAACGGTTGCATAGTTATAGTGCTTTTATGCAGGTGGCAGAACTGCGATAGTTTTTTTATTTGACCAAAGATTGAGCTTGCACACATGTGTGCCAAGTTTAGTGAAGATGTCTCAGTCCGTTCAGGAGTTATAGCCATTTTAGTAAAAATGGCCCCGTCCCTAACAGACGTTTTTGTGTCCCTAAGCGACGGTGAGTTGAAATTTAACTTTTTTTGATAATTTTTGATAAATACTGTCCAAAGAACATTTCTGCACTGGTTTGGTTCCGATCGGGTGAAAAACCTAGGACTAGTTCGCAAAAGTAGGTTTCTGACAAAATTCAAAATGGCTGAAAATTTTTATAGACAGAAATGAAATCGGAGATAGCCATTTTGTTTTGACTGAGCCAAATAATCCAATGATATAACACAATTGAGTCTATGACAAACGGTGTAGGAGTTATGAGGGCTTTTGCGTTTTTGATCGCTGTAGCGCCCCCTATTGGCCGATTGCGGTGAGTCTTTGGATCTGACAAGAAGCTCGGACTACTACAATCTGACCAATTTTCAGCTCTCTAGGCCTTACGGTTTGGGCTGCACCAATGGCGGCCATGTTTTTTGAGATAAGCGAATGTCCTCATAGACACTTGTGCCCCTTTGGACGAAGACACTGCATACCAATTTTCAAGTCGATCGGACCAACGGTTGCATAGTTATAGTGCTTTTATGCAGGTGGCAGAACTGCGATAGTTTTTTTATTTGACCAAAGATTGAGCTTGCACACATGTGTGCCAAGTTTAGTGAAGATGTCTCAGTCCGTTCAGGAGTTATAGCCATTTTAGTAAAAATGGCCCCGTCCCTAACAGACGTTTTTGTGTCCCTAAGCGACGGTGAGTTGAAATTTAACTTTTTTTGATAATTTTTGATAAATACTGTCCAAAGAACATTTCTGCACTGGTTTGGTTCCGATCGGGTGAAAAACCTAGGACTAGTTCGCAAAAGTAGGTTTCTGACAAAATTCAAAATGGCTGAAAATTTTTATAGACAGAAATGAAATCGGAGATAGCCATTTTGTTTTGACTGAGCCAAATAATCCAATGATATAACACAATTGAGTCTATGACAAACGGTGTAGGAGTTATGAGGGCTTTTGCGTTTTTGATCACTGTAGCGCCCCCTACCGATTGCGGTGAGTCTTTGGATCTGACAAGAAGGCCGGACTACTACAATCTGACCAAGTTTCAGCTCTCTAGGCCTTACGGTTTGGGCTGCATGGTCAGTTTTAGGGAAGAATAATAATAATAATAAAAATCCTAACAATTACAATAGGGTTTCAGCACTACGTGCTTGAACCCCTAATAATATAGCTGCGAGCAGTAATCATCGGGGTTCAAGCACATTAAGGCCTTTAAGCACATGCATTTAATGTTATTATGCTTTATTGAACAAGCATCTAATCACTTATGGATGGAAAAGTCTATTTACAGCCAATTCAGGCAATTTACTGAGACAAATATGGATTTTATAGGATTTTTGACAGTTATAGTGCTACCTATTGCCTGAGCTCCACCACTTGTTTTAGGTGTCTTCAGAATGTGCCCATACATACCATATGTGTGAAATTTGGTGAAAATATCTCATTTCGTTTTGAAGTTATAGACATTTATATTTATCAGAGCATAAAAATGACCCATGGGTGACTCTGGATTTTTTTGCTGCTTGTCAAAATTTTGACATTTGGGCATTAGTGTATAGCCGGCATTTCTATGAAAGTTTTCATGCTTGTTTAGAATTATGTGTCACATATCCTCACCTATGTTCGTGAAGTTCTGACTTTTTGTTTATGAGTTATAGGCTTTTGCACACATTTGACAATTTTCTAAAAGGCCCTGTTATAGCTGCCCAAAGGGTAAAGTTCAACATTTTTGATGACTGTTTCATTCTGATTGGCCTCCGTTAACCTTGTCCAATAGGTGCTCAAATTTCATTGGCCGATAGCGGCCATGTTTTTGAGATATGCCAATGTCCTCATAGACCGTCATGGCAACTTGGACAAAGACACTGCGTACCGATTTTAAAGTTGATCGGACTAACGGTTTGGTGGTTAATCGAGTTCATACACATGAAACATGTTCCATGTTTGGTGAAAATATCTCAATTTGTTCTTGGGTTATAGACAGTTTAGTAAAAGTGGCTCTGCCCACTTCAAATGTTTTGGCGACCCCTAGCAACCGTGAGTGGAAATTTCAACTTTTTTCGATAATTATTGATATTCAGTCTCCAGCGAATCTTTCTGCACTGGACACATGGTCTAGGACAGCACTTCTCAAATGCCTGGACTCCGGTCCGGATCCGGACCTGGAGGGAATTCAATCCGGACCCGCCTCCATTTCGTATTTCAAGAGCATTAATTGTGTGTAAGGGATTAAAAGTGTGGATTTCCTACTTTAATAAACGCATGTTAAACTTGTAAATCATTTGTTTAGGTTTTTTTATGTCTTTTTGGAGATGGTTCGAAATGAAAGCGAAGAAGACAATATATTCAAACTTTTCCTACGACATTGTTGTCATGACATCCAGTGATAATCTGGCGACACTTCACCGCTGCGTAATAGAAGTTATTTTAAAATTTTTGTTATCATTCAGATATTGCCATTTGTAGCAGTGTCCAGTATTTCTACTCATACATTGATTTATTTGTGATGGCCCGTTGCTATATCAAAACTGACCGGCACAAATAGATTTTCCAAAAGGCTATACTTCATTAAATAAAAACGAGCACTACACGTTTCAAAATCAGAATGTGGCGCAGGTGTTTTTATATGAATGTATCTTTGAAAAGAACCGACCGGCTTTTCTTCAGAAAAAAACTTCACTTCAGCTTTTCTTCAAAAAGCTTGATGTCATTTTCATTTCGTCTTTCCTGTAATGTAGCATTTGTGAGCTCAGCGCTTATTTGATTACAGCCGTTACCGTGGAAACTGCTATTTTGCTGACACTTAAATTGACAAAGCCTCTTTTGCTGACACTTAAATTAATTGTTTTGCCACTTTTGCAGTTGTTATTAATGTATTTTGAAAGCAAAAGGCACTTTATTTGTTTTAATTTTTTTCAAAAATGAGTGTTGATCTGTTATGCATGTTTATTAAAAACAAGTTTTATAACAACCAATTGTTCCGGTCCGGACCTTTGACATTGATGAAAAATCAGATTTGAACCTTTGAATGTTGCCTCAAAAAAACCCTGGTCTAGGAGTAATGAGAGTTTTAGCATTTTTAATCGCTGTAGCACCCCCTATTGGCCAATTGGGGTCAATCTCTGTCAACCTCTCCCCAAATTGCGAGCTATCATCTGCCCAGGTTTCAAGTCTCTAGGCCAGGGGTGCCCAATCCTGTTCCTGGAAATCTACCTTCCTGCAGAGTTTAGCTCCAACCCTGATCAAACACACCTGAACCAACTAATTAGGGTCTGAAGGAGCACTTGATAATTACAGACAGGTGTGTTTGATCAGGGTTGGAACTGAACTCTGCAGGAAGGTAGATCTCCAGGACCAGGGTTGGGCACCCCTGCTCTAGGCCTTATGGTTTGGTCTGCATGATCAGTTTTACGGCAGAATAATAATATTAAAAATCTTTACAATTACAATAGGGTTTCAGCATTATGTGCTTGAACCCCTAATCACCATCATCATCTTACAATTGACACCAGGACTGTATTTGATGTCACTCCTCTTCATTTTTGCCATAATAAATTTCCCCATATTGTCCTCTATCATTCCTTCGATCTTCTGCAGTAATTCTTGTGCTTGCCTTTTTTTTTTTTCAGACTTGTTATTGAAACAGTGAAACTTTCCTCCACATTCTGACACCAGTTGCTGGTGATCCGCATTGTCATTGTTTTGTACATATTGACCAATGCTCTGTGATTCATCCAGTTCTTCCAGAACATCTTCATGTGTGAACAGAATCATGATGTACTTCTGAACTTCAGGACCAAATAAACCTTTAATGAAGTCCAGGATCTCTTCCTCATTTTGCACAGGTTCCTGTAGAGGAACAGTGAGCAGAACTGCACTGAGACCTGCTGAACACTGTTCAACCAGATCCTCTTTCAGTTTCTCCAGCTTCTCTTTATTTAGACTTGGATCCATTAGATCTGGACAATCAATCACAGCGAGCTGCTGCTCTCCCATCTGTGTTTTACCTTCACACACTTCACCAAACCTATTTTCAGCTTCATGTTTTTTTTGCTGTATGTGCACTTTAAACTTCTTTTCTCCCAGTATGGTGTTTCCAGATGAGCTTTTCCCAGAACCCTTACTGCCCATCAGAAGAATCCGGATCACTGGATCATCTGGACTGGAGCTGATCGCTGACATCTCTGAAAGAGACAGACAAATGTATAGTATGTATCATTACACACATTTGCATCAGCTACAAACACACAAGAAAAACAACAGAAACAATTTATTATTATTCCTCAAAAATCATTCTAATATGCTGATTTGCTGCTCAATACACATTTCTAATTATCAATGTTGAAATCTTTGTGCTGCTTACTGAAGTTTCTTTACACTTGCATTTCTTACAAGTTACTGTACAATCAATAGTTGTTTTAAAATTTTAATAGAAATGCTTTAAGAATGAAGGCTGTTCCATACAGAAAATGGAACAGAAACAGAAAAGAAGCAATCTGGATCAAATAAATACAAGGATGGATGGCCCGGATGAGAAGTATGAGAGAGTCTCTACTGAATTTCATCAGTGTTTTAAAATTTCTAAAGGTGTATTTCTTTACTCTTTGTGTGGAGGATGTCTGGATAGCCCTGAAAGGCAAACTATGGGTTCTGCATTTGCCTCCTGCAACAAAAACATTTCAGTAACACTTAACTTAAAGCCCTTATGTATAATGCATTATAAAGTTACTCAAAGTAGGGCTTGCACGATTAATCAAATTTTAATCTTGATAACGATATCCACCTTTCTCGAATAATTAAAAACAATCGTCACAATATTGGCCGGCTCGCTATTTATCCTGAAAATGCGTTTTTAATTTAATTTGATGTAAAGAGATTAAGGCCCAATCCCAATTCTATTTTATACCCCTTCCCCTACCCCTCCGCCTACCCCTTCCCCTTGTCCCTTGAAACGGAGTGTAAATGGGTAGGGGTGAAAATATTCCCCTAAGAATTGGGACACCACTACTATATGTCACACATTATCATACGTCGTCTAGCTCCTACAATACACACACATACTGGTGTGCTGGTGGTGCATTAGAGCCTTTAATTACCGTTCTATATTAATGTGCTGCTTACTGACACACACACACACACACACATATATACATGACAGTGCGGAGATCGCACAGCTCACACATCCAAGAGAAAATAAACTTGTCAACGCTGCCCCACGACTTTTAATAATAAACTTTTAAAAATTAAATTAAAATTTAAATTAAAAGAAATTTTTTTTTAAAGTAAACTCACTCTAAAAAGAGAAACGCACAGACGCGCATAAACGCAACTTTCATCTCTCTCTCTCGAACTGACAATATTTGAGAAAAGGGTTTATCGATTTCTAATTATTGGGGGGACTAGCCCCCCTCAATGTCTATGGTGGTTATCGCCCTGATCAGACATGAAAATATGTTGTGGCACTATGGTGCAGTCTATAATAACGTTAGTTAGCAAATATTAGCGATTTTTTGCAAACATTTCTTTGAGTAACATGACCGTAAATATGAACTCACGATTGAATGTAACATAAAACAAATGATTACTTTTCGTTAAAATCTTTATTAATGCCAAAAATGCTTGCATTTATGTGTATTTTTGTTCGCCACGTTGCCCCTGAAGCCGGTTTACACTGAGATAAATCACACCCCTTCGTTTGAAGTGTGGTCCCGAAAAATCTTCGTTTGAAGGGCTATCTAGCCCTTCCCCTACCCCTACCCCTCCAACCAAAAGAGAATCGAGACACCCCTACCCCTTCACGTGAACGCGCGAAACTGAGAGGTAGGGGAAAGGGGAAGGGCTAAGGGGTAGAATTGGGATTGGGCCTAAGTCCCCAAAACGTTTCTTTTCTACTTAAAGGATACTAGGTGTGACCCCGAACAGTCGATTACGATTCAATGCTTCGATAGGAGGAGCCTGATTCAATACCAATCTCACAGTCGAATATTCGTGGGTTGTTATGATCATGCGCGCATAAACGCAACTTTCATCTCTCTCTCTCGAACTGACAATATTTGAGAAAAGGGTTTATCGATTTCTAATTATTGGGGGGACTAGCCCCCCTCAATGTCTATGGTGGTTATCGCCCTGATCAGACATGAAAATATGTTGTGGCACTATGGTGCAGTCTATAATAACGTTAGTTAGCAAATATTAGCGATTTTTTGCAAACATTTCTTTGAGTAACATGACCGTAAATATGAACTCACGATTGAATGTAACATAAAACAAATGATTACTTTTCGTTAAAATCTTTATTAATGCCAAAAATGCTTGCATTTATGTGTATTTTTGTTCGCCACGTTGCCCCTGAAGCCGGTTTACACTGAGATAAATCACACCCCTTCGTTTGAAGTGTGGTCCCGAAAAATCTTCGTTTGAAGGGCTATCTAGCCCTTCCCCTACCCCTACCCCTCCAACCAAAAGAGAATCGAGACACCCCTACCCCTTCACGTGAACGCGCGAAACTGAGAGGTAGGGGAAAGGGGAAGGGCTAAGGGGTAGAATTGGGATTGGGCCTAAGTCCCCAAAACGTTTCTTTTCTACTTAAAGGATACTAGGTGTGACCCCGAACAGTCGATTACGATTCAATGCTTCGATAGGAGGAGCCTGATTCAATACCAATCTCACAGTCGAATATTCGTGGGTTGTTATGATCATGCCATTTTGGCTATATGGGGGGTGATCAATGTCTGATTTCACATAGAACGACAGGTTTTCTCCCAATAAGTTAATATACAGCTTTTTAACCCTTTCGCACGTGAGTTTAAAATATTCTAGCTGAGCCTCCAGCGTGAGTTTTTTTTAGGCGACCGTTATTTTAAAATGTAACGCCTTATTGTTTCCATGGTGATGCGTCATGCTTGTCATGTGACAACGCAGCCACAATAGATCTGTGTAACACATGGATCACTTTTATTTCGTTTTCCCTGTTTTATTCAAAATATTCACAAACATACTCACTATATTATGAAATATCTGATATTCCGATTCTGAAATATGTAAATCTGTAAATCTGTTTGGTAGTTTAAACACTTTTATATCGACCGTGTTAGTTGATCTATACCGGGTGATGGGCGCCGCCATGTTAGTTCGCGCTGCATCCGAGCTGTGGGATTTACAACACGCAAATTCATCCTCTCCTACCGAAACACGTTAAAGTAGGTATCCGGTAAACTGGGAGAAGAGCAGAGTAAACTTTATAGTTACCTACACAATCTGTATATGATATCAATAAAAACATGTCGTCAGATTATATTTGTAAGAATCATTATTGCCGTTTCCATAAACATCAGCGTGCGTTTTACAAACTGTAAATGTATGGTTTTGCTAGTACTTATGTGTATTAAATGTCTGAAACCTAAAATAAGTATTATATGGTTGAAAACGTCTCGGGTTACTTATGTAACCATGGTTCCCTGAGTAGGGAACGAGACACTGCGTCCTCTAGGGGTCGCTATGGGGAACGCCTCGTCGTGACCACGAGTACAAAAATTGTAGTCAGTAACGTAATTCATTACATTACACATTATAGGTAATATAAGAAGATTACTTTTAGATTACTTTTGACCTAACTCAATTTATCACATTGATTTAAAAAGGATAATCATGTACCATAATGATGTAAAAATACAAAGAGTGAGAAAATATATTCCTTTCGTTGTAATTAAAGGCAGAGTGAGGGATTTCTGGTAGCTGTGGTGGATTTGGTTTGACACTCTGTGTTTGATTAAGTTGACTTGTGTGTCATACTGATCATCGGTTGATTGCTCAAGCCTGGGTGATGTATTCGGGGAGATGTAAAATGAACGAGAGACAGTAAAAAGCAGCTCACACCTCACGGTCTCACAGTGTGTTTATTAGACTTAGAAATAAACCACGCACCATTCGGACAAACAGATAAAGGACACAAGAACAACAGTAGCCAATGTTTATATTTGAAATCACCAAAACAAACACGCCCCTACCCCAAAAGGGTCTTGCCCCTATTTTGATAGCTCCGCCCCACATATACGACGCAACCCAGGAAACGATTAGTTCTGTGAAACAAAGCAAAACCAATGTTACACCGTGTCTAATGTTGCTCGGCTAATGTCCGTCCCATGCACTGAACGCGCTCTCCTCCACATCACGAGTAGACACGCCCCTTATTGCTGATTGGCTACAAGTTTGTTTTGCGATTCGGCCCGAATCAGTTTTTGAAGTGTTTTTGAAAAATCACTCACTCTGCCTTTAACAACATCAAGCGCATTAAACATTATATTACATCAAGGTTTCCCAAACTGGGGTTCATAAACGAACTGCAGGGGGTTTGTGAGTTTAATGAAAGGCAAACATGTAATTAAATCATAAAAATGTAAAATTAAAATAAATCATATTAAAATAACAATCAACATAATTTACTAACTAAAAAAGAACTAGTTTATGTTTACCTGCACGCCATATGACCATCAACCAATGTCAGAGAACCGTGAACATGCAAATGTGATACATTATTATTAAAATATTTATTTTAAACTCTCAGGGGTACTTAAAGGGGTAATTGATTATGATTTCACTTTTTTAACTTTAGTGTGTAATGTTGCTGTTTCGACATAAAAAAACATCTGCAAAGTTATGATGCTCAAAGTTCAATGCAAAGGGAGATATTGTCTTTTATAGAATTGCTGATTGACCACCCCTTTAAAGTAAATACATTAGGTGAAAGAGGTTCAGATAATAAAAAGTTTGAGAACGTCTGCAAATAAGAAATAACGTAAATTTGTGCAGTTTAATGAGTTTGAAAGACAAAAGCCTTTCAATAATACATAATAATAATGCATGGTTAAATAACTGTTAGAAAACACTCTCTGTCTTGTTAAGGTTCCATTATATGCCTCACCCCTCCTTTTTCTCCCCTCTCTCTTATTCCCCCTCCTTTCCTTTCTCTCCCTCTCACTCTCCCTCCTCTCAGTATCCTTCGCCAGGAAGTCTATTCCTAATATGTACATGTTTTTCTGTATATGTGGCCATTTTATACAAAACACATGTTCTTGGCCAAACATCCTATATGTGTATGTCACCCTATCCTCATTGGTTAAGAGGGTAAAACTCCCCTCGACATGCCTATATAAGATCTGTATTTCTATGAATAAATTGAAGTATT